TCAGTTCGTTGCAACGAACTTACAGCATCTTGCCGTTTGATTGCAGGAATTGTTGGAAGCGGTTGAAACAGCGATTAGTGAGACAAGAAAAAATTTCGATTCAGTAAAAACGAAAATTGATCATATGAAAGAGTGAGTTTTTGAAAAAAGACTTCATTTTTGTTACTTTGTCACAAATCGTCCACAGTTTTGGATTTGACGGTTTGAGATGGACAGAAGATTGCTTTATTACAAAAAAAACAATGTTTAGAGACAAAGATGCGCTCGAATCATGCGCACAGTCTTGCTTGGAATTGCGTGATCGACTGAAGGTGGTCGTTGAGGCACAAGCAAAGGAGCAGCAACTGACCAAAAAATTCGACCAAATCGCTGTTTTCGATCAAGCTGATAGGCGAGCCTCTGAACTGATCAGCATTATCAGGGTGAGATTTTGTTAGTGGTTGATTCTGGTTCGGTTCATTGTCCACTTCCACTGTTGTGGTGAATTTTTGAATTTTTGTTCGATGTTTCGGTTGTTTGGTTGTTGGAATTGTTGCAGTAAAAGTTCTTAAGGCTCGAATAGCATGGAAAGAAGGCGTCAAAGCTATCGAAAGTCTTGACGAAGGAGAGCCTGCGTCCGAGAATGTTGTGTTCAGTTTGCAAGACGCATATAACATCTTCTCTAAGGTTTATTCTTCTTCTTTATTCCTTGCATCAAATCCACTGATATATTTGTACTTCTCAGTAATGTAAATAAATGCGAAACTTTTCTATTTGAAAGATTTGCTCAATTTATTTTCAATCAAAGANATTCCTTGCATCAAATCCACTGATATATTTGTACTTCTCAGTAATGTAAATAAATGCGAAACTTTTCTATTTGAAAGATCTGCTCAATTTATTTTCAGTAAATGATTCAGATTTGAGCATCTGGAAAATTGTATGATCATATTTTAGTGATTTCAATCACATCACTGATTTACTAAAAAAACTGAAGGGGGAGCAGTTTTACAAATGCTCTTCTGAGCGAGACATATTTTTAGCAAGTGGCTGTACCGGAACGAGGTGAATTTTTGGAACGAGTCAAAGATGTCTTTCTGAGTTGGTATTCAACTCGAGTTGTACTAGCTCTGCAGTCCGATACGCCTGCAGAATCACTGTTAGCCCTTAAGGCTAAATATGATAGATTGGATAGAAGCGATGGTCAGGATTTGAATTTGCTTGCCAGTATTTGTGTTTTGGATGTCAGAAATCCGCTCGTCGATCTTGAATCTGATCGCGTTTTAGATGGCATAAATTTATCCAGTTAAGAAAGTTTTCAGTGAGATTCTGGAAATTTTGACGGTTTCCGGATGGCTCGCTGAAAGAGAGTTTCTCATCATGATTTTTAGATTTCAATGCGGTGATTCGGCACTACATCAAGGATCAAAGCAAACTGGAACTTCATGAAGTGGCCACCCTTCCAGATCTTTTTGTGGATCTTCAACGCTCAATCTTGGCCAATTACACCAGACTTCGTGAAGGAAAACGGTTGGAGCACATCCTCAACTGCCAGTTTTTACCTCTCATCTTGATTTCATTTATCCGATTCGCTAACGAAATCCCGCATACCAATTGAATCATTTTGTTTTCAACCAAACGTCTTTTAATTTCCATTTTATTGTCAGTTACGAGCAGTAGGCGCGTTTTTAAAAATCATTTTGCAAAATAATCTGGCGATTAGAGTAAGTTGTACAGCAGCTGAATGAGTTCGCGAACCCTTTATATAGACCAAAAAAAAAATTTTATTGTAGATGGGCTGAAAAAGTGTTGACCGCACCATCAGAATTCATTGCTGAAGCGTTGACAGAAAGTGTTTTGGCGCAATGGAATGATGTTGAGGGTATTTGCGAGAGGGCACTTACAAGCACCAATGAGGAAGACTCCACCGGTGCACTTTCTCTACGAATGATTTTGGCTTTGAAACAGGTTTGTAACCATTGTTTTTTGATTAAATATATTGTGAATGCAGAATCTGAAGTAAACTCTAATGCAGTTGATATTGAAACGTATCAATTGCTTTATTCTTATCATTTATATGGATCACTTATCTAGTGTCAGTTATCTAGATGAGCAATAGGTTGTTGTTTTAGTTTTTGGAATGAGTTGTTGTTTGAGTGTATCTTTGTTATTTGTAGTTGATTGCGGATGTATCACCTCAAACGGACGAGGATAAGCCTATCACTGAATGTGTCCTTAAAATTGGTAATGGTTTGATGGAGCATGTGGCTGCTGGTTATTCAAAGCTAGCCTCGTCTTATCTTACGACTTATGCGAATATTTCGTTAGTAAGTTCATTTTCGTCTCTATTAAAGTGGAACTCAATATCGGTTAGTCGGAGGAAATAGAAGGAATCCGAAATGCGTGCTGAAGGCGTCGTTTTCTTTTTTTGCAGTTTGATGTAAATTCGTAGACGAGTGGAAGATTACCATTTCTCAACAACTATATATTTATGGCGATCTTTTTATGAGAGGGTGAGGGACTGAAAGGGAAAGAGGTGTGATTCGGTTCGGGGACATTTTTGTACATTTCTTTCCTGGCATAACCTTCTGTTCAACAGTGACAGTGATATGTTACGCGTTAGATGAGTGAAGTGGTTTTGAAGGGCACAGGAACAACAGCGAGTAGTCTTGAACAACTCTCGAACGGATTATCGCAACTGATCAAGGAGAGTGATTATCTGATGCAAATAGCAAGTGAGACGTTCGACTGTCTTGCTATCATCTACATTACACCAGCATTCAGGGTGAGTTTCTTTTGCGTAGATATGCATTTATTTGTTCGCACATTCATTAATGTTATAATTATTGTTATCGATGTCACAATGTTTTTTATAAGAATTCTATTTTCACCAATAATGTTATGTTGTAGTTGTTTTGCTCTCATCGTTCATGTGCTTATTTTTCAGTCAATGTACGAAAATTTGGTTTCACTGTTGTCAAATTTCTACAAAGCAACGATGGACAAAACGTCAATGAAGAATAACGATATTTTACGACTGATCAGCATATCGGGTTCGATATTTGTTTTTTTAACGATCAATTGGTGATTTTTATTGTTGTTATTAGTGTGAATAATTTGAGTATGCATGTATCCTTTGCTGTCTTGTTATATTTTTTTTTTTGAGAAGACAAAAAACGTCTTGGAACATTCCAGGTCAACTAATGTTGTGGCTGGAGAATGATCGTAGAAAACTGAAAGATATGCTCGATTCGTATCGGACAGCTGATAAAAAGAACTCGGGCAATATGTTGCAGTCCGAGAAACTCGCCGAAGAGATTGCAAATTTTGAGAAGAGAATATCAGGTACGAAATGTCAGCTCTTCTTGTATTGTTCTATTGTTAGCTGTGTTTCCTCATATGGAAGTGTTACTGTGAATGCGTATATTTCTTAAGCTGTAATATGGGGATGTGTTTATTTTGACTGAGAGTGCACTCAATATTTTGAGATTTGGTTTTTTGTTTTGTTTGTGTTATTTTTCAGTTTTTTTTAGTTTTATTTTTTCCTTATTCTCGGTTGTGTTCGAATTGCGGTGGGGTCAGAGAAGGCTGTAAAAATCACAAGTGAATAAATGAATGTTTAAGTGAAGGCAGAAGGTGATTTGGGAATAGCGAAATCGAGGACTGATTTTCGCAAGCTGAACAAACGGTTCGTTACGAGGGCTGTCGAGCACTTGAGTCGTCCGTTCGTGTCCAGTATGGAGAGCGCTCTCAAAGAAATTGTAAGAAGTCGTGTCTGGTTCGATTCGTTGTTGTCTGTGCACTAGCTAAGGGACTCTGTTTTAATGGTTCATTTTGGTGTTCAGCGATCACAACGATCGGAAAAAGGTGATCAATCGACGGCTGTTCAAGAGACGTCGATGCCATCGTTTGGTTCGACACCGAATGAATTCGTTACCTCAGCTGGAGTTTCACTGCTATCACTGGCACATGAGTTGTCGTCGTATTCGCACGATACCAATATGGCTTATTCACTTGCGGTCGTCTCGAAAACTGACTCAATCGGTTTGTTTTTTGCGTATTATTTTATTTGATCATTCTGATAGAACTCTTTTCCAAAAGCATAAAATTCTGGTGAAGCTTATTTGGTCTTTATGTGAGCAGTTTAGATGAAAAAGTTTCTGGTTGATTGAAAGCATGCGTGTTTTTCAAATTAATGTATAGAGTTTAAATATGAATAAGATTGAATAATTTTGTGGCCTTGAGTTAGTGAAAAATTTCATTGTTTTTGTGATTCTAAGGTAAGTGTAGTTATGATCATTCATTAATGTTTATCATGTTAAGCGTTTTTCGCTGAAAAAATGTTTGAAATTAGATTGTGTGGTTGTGGAGTTTATGAAATGAACATTCAGAAGATGTGACTTCGTGGTGGGTAGAGAAGTGTGCAGCAACTGTGCAAGATTGCTTCATTGATGGGATGGGAGAGATTGGACATCTGCCGCCGAATCTGATACGTCAATTCGCAGTTGATTACGTTTATTTGGCGGACGTTTTCGAAGATTTGGGAACAGCAAAGTTAGCGGAATTCGACGAAATGCGGCAGACGTTTGCAGATCTTGGATATATCAAGGATCAGTCGTAAAGAGTACTGATCGATTGCTGCTTTTAATTTATTGTTTTTGAGTGATTTTTGTTGTGCGACAAAATTTTCATTCATATCTGTGATCTGTGTCTACATATGGTTATTGTATTGAATTTGATCTTATGACCTGAAATGATTAGTGGAATCGTATTTGCTGAGACGAGATATGTGATCTGAATTGAATTTTAAAGTTGTTTTTTTTTGTGATATTAACTAACGTCAGTTATTCAAATGAATCATATCGCAAATGACTGTTTAATTTCTACGGTTTCTCCTTTGATTGTCGCGCACGCATGAAAGGGAATCGGGAATGTTCCAGGACAGCTATCGGCAAAGCCCGGCCCGCGGGCCAAAATTGGCCTGCCAGATGAATTTGAGAATTAGGTTTCAAAGGGGTAAAAAAGAAAAGAAAGAGGTTTTGAATTAATTAGCTACTACATTGAAGATTTTCAACACAGAATTTCCTAGTAGACGACTAACTGTGTCGTCGTACGGTGGCCCGCCAGTCAGTTGCTGGGAAAATTTCAGCTCTGGGCCAAAACTACTTGCCGATGGCTGTTCTAGGATATCATCATTATTCGCTGTGCGCAAAATCAACCGTCCACGTAAAAACTAGTGAGTTCTGATCGACCTAATGAGTTTCCGTTCTTTATAAGGACTGCGCAACGCAGTGGACTTTGATGGATGGATATTGGAATGAGGGATAATTGAGCGTATCTGATATAAATACGTTGTGCTGCATTCCACAACTTTTTTGTTGTTCTATTGTTATACTTGATGGGTGCAAATGTGATGATAGTATAATTTCCATAATTTATTTCATTGAGAAAATTTTACAATGCGGAGTAATGTATCAGTGGAATTTATAACCTCAAACCGAGCAAATGAAAGAAGTTTATCAACGAATGAATGAAAAATGAATTTTT